ATGGTGTCAAACAACATTCTACAGATAATAAAATGTGATTCTATTAATTTAACATTTTTATTAACATTTTTATAAAAATCTAATTTAATTTTCTATATTTTTAATTATTTGGGGTGGACGTTTTTATACAAAAAAGAAGAGAAAAAAAAAAGCGTTGAAATTTAATGGTTTAAAGCTTTAAAAAATTAAATTTTTTTGTGTGTGTGTTTTTAAAAGTAATTTCTTTAGATTTAAATTAAAGAGGGATGGAGAGGGGGGAAAAAAGATTTTTTTTTATTTTGATTTTCCTCTAAAATTTCCCTCAGATGGCGCTCTATTCGTAGGAGGTATTACACTTAACTTATATCTTGTATTTACTTTAATACTACAATGTATTTTCTATAAAATACAAATAAAAATAAACATATTTCTTGGTATCTTGTTACGAAAATGGATTGTCAATTTGGTAAACAAACAATGTATATAATATAATATATATATATAACTTTCATTTATTAAATGGAAAAGTTTTATATTTGAGTGTTTTAAACGTTATATCTTAATTACTTTACAAATAAGCTTGGTATAATGTGTAAATTTACATAGATTAACCCTGTATGAGGAACCTTTATTGTATATAAAAGAAACAAGAGAATTTAATGGGGTATAATTAATGATTGAAACATTAATTGATATAAAACTAACGAAAGAGGAGAGAGAGGAAAATGAAATTAATTTAATAATAAGAATTAAAAGTGAAAGAAGAGTATAGAATAATTTACAGTGTCTAGAAAATATATATATATATATATATATTTTACAATTTTTACAAACATACAGGTCCATAAAAGTGTATAAAGCCGTTACAAATTAAGAATATTAGTATGAAGCCCCCCTATTTGAATGACTTTTACGACTAAGTTAGAGAAGAAGCGATGTCGTCAACACACTGTACAGGTATATGGAGTAAAATCGTAAAATATGACAGCGACTACAAGAAAAGCAAAACGAATTTAAAACTGAAAATAAATCTCGGAAGATAAAATTTAGTCGTAAAGGTTGAAGGATGATGAATTGGATAGGGTTTTATGAGTGGTAACTTATATAAAGGTCTTTGGTTATAGCGAAAACTTTTGTTTCTATACCATGATTATCTTATACTAAATCCCAAAACAAAACCATCTATTCGGTTGAGTATTAAGTATAAATTACTCTATACCTTTATTAGTTTTTATTTATTTTATACTCTCAACTGTGTGTCGAGTAGTAAATTTTCTCCCCCTTTCTTCTCTGTAAATTAATGTTTTTTGTTTCTTCTTGTCAATAAATTAATTAGAAATGTGCTGATAATTAGAATTTCTTGTAATCTATTTTCCTATAGCAGGAACTATCCTTTATTTCTCCTATTAAAATCTACACACCCGCTTTAGTTACTGAAGAACTATTAATTACTGAAGAACTAAACTGCATCTTTGTATTTCTTAACACTACACCAGGACTTAATCATCTATAATTTAAAGCTCAGGATCATCAGAGCCTAGAGATTTCTTAACTAGGATTAATTATTATACTATAATCTTTAATCCCTTTACTAAAGGACTGATAGAAGGAATAACTACCANTAAAATATAAATTCTTATATTTTTATATCAAAATTTTCATAAATTCAGCAAGTTAGCCTTTTTATTTTATAAATTTAAAGTCTATCATTAAATCTAATTAACCTTAATAGGCCATTTAAGTATAGACCCGATCTATTATTAATTAGTCCTTACAACAAGTACTCTATACTTATTTAGATTGATTTTACTTAAAAGTAAGAATTAAAGGGTCTAAGTGCTGATAAGCCATTAGGCCCCTACACTAAAATTCGATGTTCGTAGCTTGTTNTAAAAATTAATAAATTAAGCACGTTATTTAGAAAAAATCGCATGCAGGATTTTAAAGAAAGCGTCTTAAAACTTTAATAAGCATAATTATGTACTAAAGGAAAATTTTTCTAGAACACGTTAAAATAATTAATTAATAATTAACACTTTTATATCAGTATATAAATTAAATCCGACAGTTGATTAAATTTACATGAAGGCTTCGCTGAATATGATCATGAAGAATTTTTTCTTTTGTGACCTTTACCAATACAGTATATTCTTTTAAAATGTTACAAGTTGATTTTTACACAGCATATTATGAAGTCTTTCTGGCACAAGATTGCTCATAATTTGTTGTGTTTAAAAATCAACTTGCAACATTTTAAAGAATATATTGGTAAAAGTCAGAAGGTCATTTCTAAGTATTCGAAGGTTAGGTGACCTCAGAATAAAGTGCAGTTTGTGTTCGAACATAATATATATTTATCTCGTACAGTACATAGCTTATAAACGTGAACTTTTAATGCGTAAAACTTTTTCTTTGACATTTGAATTATGTTTTATACTTTATACTATAATAATAATAATACGAAAATATATTTAAAGAAACATGTAAGTGAAGCGAAAGAATGCTTTTATATACGATGCAAACACTTTTGTAATTTTTAATAACGTTTCCAATTTTTTATGATTTATTAATATTCTCTTAATAAATTTTATTAATATAGTAAATTTAACATTAGACATATAAATATCATGAGATTGATATTTATTATTATATCTAAACAATCTATAAAACTTACGTAAGGGACTTTGAGATGAATTGAACGTCGTATTTTTTTAAAAAGATAAAAGTTATTTTACAAACTTAGTACTATGACTATACAGGCATGACGTAATTCTCGCACACCCTTAGGCACCTACTTGAAAAGAGAGAAGATGGCCTGTCAAGGTCGGACAAGCTTTTTTTTTTTTCTATTGTAACTAATTTAGGCCTTTTGCATAAGAGAAAAATAAATATTTTATACTTAATTATTTATTCAGGAGCCAAATTTGTAGGATTCTCTTTAAGAATATTTGATAAGAACGTAGAGAATTAGAAGGGTGGAGATAAAAGGGGCAGTAGGTTGATCATTACCGTCATTATCATGATATTTCCATTTGTTTTTCGGTTTTATATTAACAGTTTATAAATAAACTTGTAGCTGGCGTTGAGAAAAAATGTGCGCAAGATGGTGGTGGCACGCATGCCCGACATTAGAAGCACACCCCGGACCGGGTACGGTGTTTGATTGGCTGACAAAGACTTAACTCCACCTAGTAGGTAGCAGTAGAGATCGGTAGAGCGGTAACAGCCATCAAGCCAGTTTACAACGCGTGCAGCATCTGGTAGCAGAAGTGCTGTGACAAGAAGTAGAGATCGCAAGTGAATCGAGAAGTAAAAAGAAGAATAAACAAATACAGACTGTGCAAATCAAAACTAAACTAACGTGAAAATTAAGCCTGAAGGCTCAGGCGAATGCTAACAATGGATACCAGACTGTTGGAACCAGCTTTCGGTCACACTCATAATCACATCTTAGCAAGGTTGGGTAGGCCGATACCGGGACCTTACGCTCATTTCGGTGCACCCATAGCACCATACAGCGTGCCGTTGCCACCACCTTACGAGTATCATCCGCCACCTCCACATTCGGGACTTCAGGCGACTACCGGTGTGCCCTATACCATAGACGGCATATTGGGCACAGCACCACCGCATACTGCTGGATTGACAGCGGCTACAGCGGTGCCGACTGGTGGCTCCGTCTCTGTTACATCGGCTGCCGTTGTCACTTCTGGTGCTGGACAGTTAAGACAAGGCGATTCTGTTATATCACGAACGGTTCTTCATCATCACCATCATCACCACCACAGAAAACACGGTAAGTAGTTTTTAACGTGACGCTCCCACCCCCTTTTCTCTTACAAACTCCCAAATAATAAGGGCGACTAACAAACAACGATAACACATACTTACTGTGTCTTTAAAACTCCACAATTTCCAAAATTATCCGTCGATCGCCCTACAAAATCCAATTAGTAATTAATTTTAAATCAAAAACTTTCAATTAAGGCCATTCCGTGTGCCATAAAACAAATAGACGTCAATAAAAACAAAGTGGAAAATTGTTGTGTATTTCCATAGCAGATGATTAATTTACTAAAATTAATGCATTAAATAGTAATTAGAATGTTTCTATCCTACGAGGCCAACTAGTGAGAGGGGTATTTTTTTTTTTGGTCGTGCTACTCAGTATGCCTTACCAGTATCCGTGACTATTGTTGAGTAAGCTGCACAGACTCTTAACTCACTGAAGAAGACATAAGTTGCAGAGATATTGGACAAAGCAAGCAGTAAAACACTACACTTGTTGCCTCATAGCTGCAACACTAACCCAATAAAAACAATGGCGCCGAAATGACGCTACGTGGTTCCAATGTTGATGGTCCTAACCATCTCCAAATAGGAGAAATGTAAATGTCTTTGTAATTGGTCCACATTGCTAATTAACTTTAAACATGTTTAATGCTAAACGAGTGACATTTATGAATATTTTCTCACTCATTAGCAGGAAGCCGAGAGAAAATTAATAGAGGTGACGCCAGTTCTCGGCATAATCTTCAGGAAATTCATAAATTTCTTGTGTTAAATGTTCTTGTTTCTGTGATTTGTCTGAATCTATGATCTCGATTCATGAACACTTTTGAAACTGTGTGTTTTGTATAAGTAAAATATATTAAATTTACTTCAAACAGATGTAGTAGCTGCAATATAAAGCAGCTGTGAATATCTTATATGACAGCTCCAGTGATATTTAAAAACAATAACAATTTGCATTTATTAAAAATATTGCAATTCACTTTCCATCTATTAAACATTATTATAAGTACCGTGCAGTATATTTTTACCGGAATCATTTAATTTTAAATGTGTTTTTTAAATGAAATTTCATTTTTATTTATAAATTATATTGTATTTCATTGTTGTAAATAAGTAAATTTACTTTTAGGGGGTAATTAACAGATTTTTACTCTTCTAGATAAATCTCATTGTGTATGTATAAGGTTAATCGATTGGGGTGAAGAATAGTGTTTAATTTAGTTATGATTAACCCCTTATTGTGATAAATTCATTTATAAAGTAAATATCACGTTAACCGAACATTATATTTCATGCAAAATATATTGCTAAACATACTATACACTATAAGTTTAAGAAGAATCTAATAGTTTAGAGGATTTAAAGATTCACTAGATAGTCAATTTCTAATATAAACGGGAAATAAAATAGTGTCACTGATACAAAAATCACTAATACACAGTCACATAGATTCACTAATGCGAATCACTAATATAAAGGTTCACACATCACTAGTATAGAGTCACTAATTCATGGCTTCATACAGTGCCATTAATACGGTTTCACGCAGAGATCCAACATACATATTCACATAGTATTACTGATATAGAAACTCACAAGTGTTACTACCTACAAAATCACTTACTTGTATTCAGATTCATTAGTACATAACGGATAAAACAGAATCAGCATCACGTATAAAGTTACTAATATATATACACACACAGTCACTAATATTATCGCATTAGATAATCAGCGAGTAATCTATGTAGTGAATCACACATCTAATCATTACGTGGTGTGTATTTTAAGGTAAATCATCCTGCAAACTTGTGTTATTTTTTTTTCTTTTTTTTTTGTTATCTCTTCGGTAAAATCAAGTTACTGGTTGCTTACCTTTCTCATTTTCTACCGACTCCCATGCGTAGGTGTCCTCTAAATCACATTAATTATTTCCTAATGTTATCCAAACGTGACATCACTATTATTACCGAGTTTCTCATCGAGATACTTTTAAGAGAGTTTTTTTTTGTGTTTATTTTTTGAAAGTTTTAGTCCTTTAATTTGGATTTTATATTTGAATTTTTCTCTTTTATTTATTTAAACAATGTGATCTTTCTGTCTGATTTTATTGTCTATTTAATTAAATTGCATTTTCAATGATGTCTAAGCGCTTAAGTTGTTTAAAAGTGATTTTATTACAGAACATTTGCTGAAATTGAATGAAAAATCCAAGTGAATTTTTACGCTTTGTGTATTTTTTAGAGCCTCCAAGTTTGTATTTTATTATTAGAGGCCTATGGTGTTTTTTTTAATTACTTGAATCTTTACATGTTTCTTCGTAGTTTTTAAGATAAATTAAGTTCAAAATAGTTTACCTTAAATTATTTTTAATCATGGATAAGTGATAAGTATAGAGAATGTGTGAAGAACTAATTAGTAATCAGGGTTTAGTAATTGTTAAGTGGTTCCTAACTAAGAGCAGTAGTAAAGGGATGGTGTTATCGGTTACTGATCACATAAGCAAAGCCGTAGAATGATGATGATGATGATAACTGTAAGCAACGGTGAAAGATTAAACGAAAAGTAAAGCCGATATTATGTTATAAGTTAAAGATGATGGAGAAAAACTTAAAAATTCGACTTCGTGCTAATGATTTCTGCATCAAATTTATTTATTTGACACGAAATAAAGGAGCATTTCAGTGTAAAAATATCCATTTACATATAACATTCTTCTTCACAACTAAATTATCTTCTCTCTTGCATTCTTGACATTTGCCCGAAGCAAAATCATCATCTCCAATGATTAAAATAACACTCGACTGCTTACAGTCTGACAAGAGTTATTGTTAGCAAATTTTTAAATTTATATATATATATACACACACACACGTATTAATAATTTATAAATTTATATATTTATATATATTTTATGTAAGAAGAAATATACCAGGCCTATATAAGAAAATTTATCCGTCTTTATTTAATATTAACAACATTGTGTTGCGACATTTGACTCGGTCCGAGATAGAGATGATGGATGAAGAAGGGCAGGTGAGAAATGGTCCTGACTGTTTGGTGTCAATACTTATTGATGACACTACACACCACATCTTAGTCTGAAGATAAAAGAGAACACACTGCACCTCTGGGACCAAAAGAACCAATTCGACCATCGGCTGATGTGTCCATCGGAGCCTTCCAACAGAACTGGGAATTCACAAACTTTGATACTATGAATATTTCAAAACACATCTCTAAAGACACTATTTAAAAATGATCGTATTATCGGATTCGTATGCTTAACCCGTAAACAATGTTAACCCAGTTAAACATTCGAAGGCCTAAAGCGTTACATAAAGATAAGGCCTATAAAACGTTACGCCGGATTATCTTATAATTAAAACTATAATTATTAAAGTTTTATTATTATAAATATCTTTCCTGTTTATAAATTTTTAAATAATTTATAAATTTTATCAAACTTTCAATCACTAGAAATGACTAGAAAAGAGGAGAAGATACCTCTTAAATAATTGATTTCTGGATAATTTTCGAGAGATTTTCTAATGATTATTATTATTATTATTTTTTTTTTAATAGATTTAAATCATTTTGAATGTTTTAATTCGTTTTTATAAAAAGAAAATATTAATTAGAAACGATAAGAATATTAAATTTTGACGTCAAAATTAGATAGAGTGTTTTTCTAAAGTAATAAGAGTCTATCAAAGCAAATGTGACATCTTGATATCTTTTAGATGAAGTACGGAGCCCGAGGCCACTGTCAACGGATGCCTTGGGTCATTTCTACTATTATGACTACATTTTAAGGGCCTCCATATGCCCTAATTTCGGGGAGAAGTCGGGGTGTGTCGATTCCAAACACAATATTTCCAAAAACTCAATTCGGAGAAAATAAATAATAGTTGTTCCCGTGATCAAAATTAAAAGAGGAAGATTTTTCTTGGACAATTTTGTCACGAGATTGTCTTAAAATTATCTTTTTTTTTTTTACTCGCATCTCGATTGTTAGATGTATATACACGCCATTTATTGCCCATAGGCCTTTGAAGTTGTAGTAGAATGGACATTGTTATAATAGTGATTTTAGTATTTTCGATAATAGTTATTATACTAATATTACTCATTACAATGTACAAAAATGGACTACTTACTAAAAACTTGACGTTTTTACTATATTTTTCTTCGTGATTTTCTAACGTTTTGCTTTCTACTCGTAATTTTTTAATGTAACGGATGAGAATCTTCTTCATCTTTGCTTATTATACAAACTCTACAATGTTTAATTTAAACATTCCCTCCTTACCTGTAAAGTATTTTTGATCTTTCTGTATTTTTTTTTTTTTCTTTTTACTTAAGCACCCCTTATGCAATCTAGTTAAAGAGAATTCGACAGTATGACTTATGGTTTTTAATTATTTGGGGTGGACGTTTTTATACAAAAAAGAAGAGAAAAAAAAAAGCGTTGAAATTTAATGGTTTAAAGCTTTAAAAAATTAAATTTTTTTGTGTGTGTGTTTTTAAAAGTAATTTCTTTAGATTTAAATTAAAGAGGGATGGAGAGGGGGGAAAAATTTTTTTTTTATTTTGATTTTCCTCTAAAATTTCCCTCAGATGGCGCTCTATTCGTAGGAGGTATTACACTTAACTTATATCTTGTATTTACTTTAATACTACAATGTATTTTCTATAAAATACAAATAAAAATAAACATATTTCTTGGTATCTTGTTACGAAAATGGATTGTCAATTTGGTAAACAAACAATGTATATAATATAATATATATATATAACTTTCATTTATTAAATGGAAAAGTTTTATATTTGAGTGTTATATTTGAGTGTTTTAAACGTTATATCTTAATTACTTTACAAATAAGCTTGGTATAATGTGTAAATTTACATAGATTACCCTGTATGAGGAACCTTTATTGTATATAAAAGAAACAAGAGAATTTAATGGGGTATAATTAATGATTGAAACATTAATTGATA